TCAGGAGTAGGGACCTACTCAATTTGCTGTCTGAGAGGGCTGCCTGTCACAAAATTCCCCCCCTGCCCGCCAATCAGCAGTAAGGGGCAGGGGCACACAACAGATAACCCTATCAGCCAATCAGTAGTGCAGGGCAGGGCCACATGGTGGACAACACCATCAGCCAGTCAGTGGCAATGGGCAGGACTACTGGGGCCCTTCAGTCAGTCAGAGGGGTGGGGGTGGCAGCTTGCTGTGATAAGCCTGTGAAATTGGTGGCCAGCCAGGCCTGTGCTCAGCCCACAAAATCAGCCACCTGCCTCCTTGATTTTGGTAGGTCCCTATTCATGAGTTTAAAAAGAGTCGGTGCTAAGGAGGATTAAGTGCAATAGGTACTACATTGTATTCAGATAGGCTGCACTAACTTAGCCTTGTGGTAGGTTCCCATCAGTATGTTTGCCCAATTTGGGCCATATGTTTAAAAGGCATACCCACTGTGGGTTGCATTCAGTCACTTTCATAGCTGGTTTCCATTACTGAACACATGGTGCTTCTGGCATCAATTTAATGATAGAAGGTATATTCAATGAGGCTTTCCTGTATGCATAGGGTTTTTTTTCCCCTGTGCTGACTGGGGCGGTGGGGAATCAGAGATGGTCTTGTCATATATTTGAGTAAACACAGTACTTTCAGTAGTTGTAACTTGAGCTTTTGGTTTTTTGTTTTTTTTTCCTTGCAGAAATGTTATGAACAAAAACAATACAAAAATGGACTCAAATTTTGCAAGATGATCCTCTCTAACCCGAAGTTTGCTGAACATGGAGGTAATTGTATGTTTTGAAGTGTTTATTGCCCTTGATAAGTGTGACTTCAGCTGTGTGCAGTTTGACAGTTCCTCCTTACTGGGGAATAAAAACCTCCCCAGCTCTGTAATTCATCCAGATTTTGATCATGCTGTAACTCCTGGTGATCGGCAACGGCTAAAGCTGTGGGATGCACACTCTGAGCTGACTCTTCTGTTCTTAAATACTGCTCAAAAAGAAGATAAAGTATAAATTGCAGTAGAATCTCTCCACAGTGATAATAGAGCTCACCTACGATAATCATTATTTATTCTGACATGGAAAGCCAGACTTCCAAGTAATTGCTCCATTGTCTATTAATAGTATGCAGCATGAAATTCAGGGAAGACTCCATAAAAATCCCTTTTTTCTCAGTTTTATACCTATTGTACCATCATATTTTTGGAGCAACTATAATGGCAAACTACACTATCAAAGCAAATATCTTTCCAAAATGCAGCAAGCAGTTTTGTCAGATGTGTGTTTTTTCTTTTAAGTTTCAGATATATTGAGTTGCAAACATCTAATCTGTTCTGGAGGCAACTAATGCCTGGATTACTGTGGCAAAGTCATTAGCTAGCGGACAAAGGATAGCCAGACTTTATTTTTTATCAGTGATTTGACTTCAACACCAAGTACAAGCTCCTATAGATTCTTTGGAAGGTGTTGTCTTGACTCAGTTTTGTCCAATTTTAAATTTGTCTATATATAAAACTGTTTTCTCTGGTGAACCTCTCATTTTACTTCTGTTTTCATATTTTCTGTGAAGACCTGTTGAAATCTTAAGCCTTGAATTTCAGGTTGGTATTTTGTCAGGATAGCTTACCTTGAGATGACATACTTGGTACAGACATAGTTCTAACTTGGTACAAAGCAATTACTTTCAATGCTATAAGAAAAAAATGTATACTTTGGCAAATATTTTTATCTTGGCTGTGATGAATGTAATGTACTCTTTCCGTTTCTACAAAATACCAAGGCCATTTTTTGTAGTTGTTAAATGTGAATCTGAAGTAAACTTGGAGGTTGAGCTGATAAGGGGTCAGATGTTGAGTTGCACAGGTGCACAAAGTCTGCCTTAGATCATTTTAGTAGAAAAATAAAAAATGGCTGCAGCTATGTTATTTCCTGGTTTGGGTCTGGTATTGGATCAAAGGGAAAAGCTGTTGTGGATGTAAATAATTGATTTTCTGAAGTCTGTTTGCCCATATTATAAAGTAAATACAATAAGCAAGTATTAGGGTAAAGAACTGTCTCCCTGATTTAACTAAGTAACTTTTCTAATACAGTATAACCTCATAAATCCGGCATGCTTGGGACTGTGTACCTGCTGGAAAATTGAATATTCATTTTTTGTTGTTGTTGTTGTTGTTGTTTTTTTAAACTAGCACGTGGGGGGCAAAGGGGTAGTGGTAGCTGGTCGCGGAATAGTGGCCAAACGCAGAGCAAGGTGGCGGATGGCGGCAGCAGCCGCTGCGTGCAAGGTTCCCCCTCCGCGTCCAGGGGAGTGGAGGGGGAAGCTTAAAATGTGCTGGATTTTTGAGAATTCCGGATTTTTTTTAATCCGGATATATGAGGTTATACTGAATTGGACAAGCAAGCAATTTGGTAGAGGTGGGAACAAGACGTCTTGCAGCTGCTGATCCCATGCTTGGACCATAAGACCGTACACCTAGCTATCAATACTTTTGGTACGCAATAATCTCCTGAAATTCCATTGGTTCACTTTAAAGTATTGTCTCCTTCCTGGCAGCAAGGGTATATAGGGTTGGGTCCTTTCCTCTCCCCTCCCCACATTTTTCAAAAGGATCAGTAAGAAAGATAAACTTTCCCTTGGTCTGTATGATGCAGTAATATTGCTTTTGCCTAAAGTGACTGCGAATTAATTATCTTTTGGATGGCAGATCTGAACTGTTAGGCAGTACATTGAGGGTGGGCTTTCGTTTCATTTTGTTCCATTTCGTTTCAACAAACTGAGTTGATTTCAAAGCATGTTATACATATATTGTTAAATATTTCCATTTCCTCATTTATCAGCTCAATCTTTCCTACAGAGACCTTGGCCATGAAAGGACTAACGCTGAACTGTTTAGGGAAGAAAGAAGAAGCATATGAATTTGTTCGTAAAGGACTTCGTAATGATGTAAAGAGTCATGTCTGTATCCTTTTTATTTTTGTACCGAAAAAAGATCAGGGATTCAGATTTTTTTAACGAAGTAAGATTGTGGCTTTTAATATGTTTGTATGAGACTTGTTTTTATACTAGTTGTATGATCTGTTACATTGTGAAATACTAGTAAAGATAAATAGCTAATATGGAACTTTTCCTGTATAAAGCAACTACTTTATAGAAGGGGAGAAGTCTGTTTAAAGGCTTTGAGTTCAGGCAGATGCATGATACCTGCAAAATGGTTTTATTTTTATAGCTTTACAAAAAATGTTTTAATAAGTCTTGCTTTTAATTCAGTATTAGTCACATTTAGGGATCTTCCAGTTATGCATAGGCATTAATAAAAATAATATTTGTTTATAACCTACATAGCACTAAGTATTTCTGGTAGAAGAATTGATCAAATCATGATGATACACTAAAACGCAGTATAAAAGTGGTGGTGGTGTTAGTTCCTCTAGGTAAATGCACATTTACTGTGAAACTTTTTTTTTCTGCAGGGCAAATGACATTTTTTAGCTGGGATTCTTTGTTTTGTTCAGTTAACATCTTTTTAATATGTCCAACATTTGTTGATACCTCTTTAGTTCATTTAAATTGAGTTCTGAAGCCATTATAAATATTAATAATGAAACAAAGTCTTACAAAGTTTATGTTCAAAGTTCATAACTAAAACACCTTATCTACTTTTCCTTATCCAGAAGAAATCCATTCTTCCCCTAATGGGAAAGAGATGGTGTTACAAATGAGAACCCTCTTTGCTGAATTTCTGCAGAAAATTCAGGTTTTTGAACCAAACAGACATTACCAATCAAACAAGATTAAGTATGGTTTGGTGTGCTGCTTTGCCAGTTCTAGCACTTTTTTTTCCTTCCAGGTGCACACATTTATAAGTAGATTTGATGTTCTGCAGTCATTGGTATGGCATGAAACATGCATGTAATTCAAAAAAACTTTCAATTTTTTTTTTCTCTTCCAGTGTAAGGAAACTTGCCATCCTAGAATGAAAGTTTGGTTAACCGTTTTAGTGTATGATGTTTTAAAAAAATAAAAAGGCACTTTGGGGGAAACTTTCTTTCATTTCTGTAGGACACAGTTTATGTTGGGTTTCATTATCTGTATATTGTGGATCCTAGTTGAGGATTTTGTCCCTGAACATACTGGATTTGGGTTAGAGCAGCCACCATTTTCTTATGCTGGTGGTTAACTGTTATTCAGACTTAATTTGTTCTTAATTTAAGTTCAAGATGACTGATATGTGAGCCAAAAGATCTCTTCTGCAAGAAGATTTGCTGTTTCAGCTGTTATGTTATATAAATTACTTCAGTGAAAGACTCATTTTCAGTGTGAGTTTTTGTGGATGCTGACCTTTTTGTTTTACTGACTCTTCAGCTTTAAATTTTCATTGGCTGAGGAATGCTAATAAAGTGTTGGTCCCTTTCAATTATAATTTCTTCACCACTTGGGCTGTATCTATATTTAGCATCAGAATAGGTTGAATTCTTGATGTTCTCTGTTTTCTGAACGTTCTCCTTCTTTCCCCTTCCCCTTGCTCTCCCCGCTTCCCTCCCCCAGTTGTCTCTTGCTTTCCCCTGATCCCTGGGAGAAAATGTTTCCAGATGATGTCTGTTGCTTTAATCAATTCCATTTACTATGGAGGCATGGGAGTGAGGCTGTAGCCATAGTGATTACATGGCTTGCTTAGACATCTGAGCCTGAATTCTTTTATTTTAATTGATAGCCTACTTCAGGGGAGCAGTAACTTCAGGTCCAGGAATTCTGACCTTCTATACAGCAGTACTGTGTAGGAGGATTACTTTTTGGAGTCTTTAGAAAATTGTTTGAATTGAATTAATGTTAGTTGAGGAGTCTACAGTCTGAAACAGTGGGCTCCTATCAATTACTCTTTTCTCCCTAGCTTAGGAGTTTAAGATATGTAACCAGCACATTCTACTATTACCACACTCTTAAACGTGATAGTTAGGTAACCTCTCTGATTGCTTTCTTTGTTTACCAGGAGGTCCAGTAAACAGTCAGAGACCTATAGTTCAAGAAACTTGCTTGAAGAAAGGAAGTTTGGGTGCCTATACATCTGCAGGAAGGCCACGCCAATGTGCTGTAATTACAGTGAATTAGAGCAGACTCAGTTAATATAATTGGTAATTACCATGCTTCAGCAGACTCCAGTGTCATGTGTATCAGTGTCCCTTTGCTAAAAAAATGGTGGCAGGGGTGCTTTAACTAAAGCTCATTGAAAGTTAAACATCTCACTGAGATCACCAGCATTCATGTCCTGCAAGCAACAGATGCACCAACGTTCATGTCCTGCAAGCAAACACCATGAATATTGAAGTGATGACCATCCAATATCAAATTTGTTGGGCTGGCCATGTCATTTGGATGTCTGACTCCAGACTTGTGGTGTTTGCTTGCAGGACATGACCGTTGGTGACTTGCGAAGCAAGTTTTATTCTCCCAGTTCAGCCAAGGTGTATACTAAAGAGGAGGGCAGAAAAAGTGCTTTGGGGACATTCTTGTGGCCAACTTAAAAAAAAAAAAAAAAAAAAAAAGAAAAGCAGCATCAATATCAACTCATGTGAGACTGTTGTCCAGGACTGTCCCAAATTGGGGGCAGGGGAAGTCTGCTGCAGTGATCTCAGTACTTTGAAACCTCACAACAGCAAGAGGTGGAAAAGCCGAAGTGGCAGAAACAGCATGTAGTGGATCAAATCAAGATGACTCTTCCTGTTATAGGGTATGATCCAAGACATCACCAGCATAGCAGAAACTGTATTCAAGAGCTATCATGTAGAAGCTTGAATAGTGTTGTGAATATTTAGTTTTCTTTAGATACCACTGCATAGCTAGAACTTGCTGCATGTCAAATAATATTCATTCCTTTATTTGTTAAAATTGTGAACTAACTAACTGAAGCAGGCAGACCAACTAAATGTACTGTTTGGATGCGTCTTTGACACTTATTGGTGTCCTGCCTTCAGTTCAAAGACTTTCCTGGGTAAAAGTAGGGGGGGATGCTGAAATGGAGGAGGGCAGCATGGATGGAGACGTTGCTTAGAATCAGAATCCAGGAGGTTGCAATGCAGAGAAACTTGAGTTCTTTGGATGTCAATAATCAGAGATTTTGTTGACTGAAACAGTCATATTATCATAAAAATTCATCACTGAATCAATTTTGCCTCCATTCACACTTAATAGAACTATGACCTGGACTGTTGGGTATTTTGAATTTATATGATTTTCTTGGATGTTTAGCAAAACTGATAAATTAGGGCTATTGGGATTTTTGGGAAGGTCAGATTACCTGCAATCTGTTTTTTGGAGGCAAGAGAGAGAACTTCTATAAGTATACTTTGTATAAAAGAATATGACATTTTTGTTTATACTTAGGCTGTGTTACTAAGGTGCATGCTTAATTTGGAGATGAAAACTAAGTAAGCCTGCTTTTAGACAGATTAAAAAAAAAAGGTGAAGGGAATGGCGAAGAAATACTTAGTAACAAAATTATTTTCCTAAGTAGTGGCTATAAGGTAGAGCAGTGGTCATAGGGAATATAAGTATTTAAAACTTTAAATGTGGAGATGGGGAAGAGTCAATGTTTTAGGTAGAGCGGTCATATAAATAATGGTGTGAAAACTGAAGGAGAAATTTTGCATTGACCATGAGGAAGAGAGTGAAAGAGAGATAGCTAAATAAAAATATAAAGTTCTGGAATTAGGTTCTTTGGGATGTGGAAGAAGTTAACCACAATAATTTATAATTTATTTAAAATGTATCCAAACGTGTCAAGGATAATATGTGGTGATGAATTGTGATAATCCAGTTGGTATCTTTCTCAAGATTGAATGTTTTTTGATTTCTTACAAAGGTTCATGAAATTTATAAATAATGGTTTCCATTTATAGGATTAATACAAATTTGGAGGTATTTCACATAAAAATGTATAGCATAAAGGTTGATGTTAAGTGCACCTAAAATAAATGGGAGATTCCTGGAGACCTATCTGCTTTTGCTTGTTGAGGCTTGTATAATACAAATGCACTGCAGTTATCTTCAGAAAACTGTGAATGTTGCTGACTTAACTTATACTAGGTTGGCATGTATATGGACTTCTGCAGCGTTCTGACAAGAAATACGACGAAGCTATTAAGTGTTATCGAAATGCTCTCAAATTAGATAAAGACAATCTACAAATTCTAAGAGATCTCTCACTGTTACAGATTCAAATGAGGGATCTAGAAGGATACAGAGTAAGTATTTCTAAATTTGTATCTTTTTGACTGTCTCTTATTTGGGAGGTTTAATTCTAGATTTATCAGTTTCAGGCTGTTGTCTAGGAAAGCTTGAGGATAGGGTGAACCATAGTAGGCTACACCTGATGAACAGGCTACATATGGAAGATAACAGATATGCTCTTTCCATGATTTGCAGAACAGCTTTTTTGTAAGCCATGCTTCTCAGTTGCTGAATATACCACAGAATGAAGTTGATGGAGTTCATTTGGCTCTTAGTGTATATATTTTTAGTACTTGGCACCTAACAGCCTACATTTTCAAAACCTTATGGAAACATGAACTCTTATGGATGGCGCCTACTTTCTCACCCTCCACATAACACCTGTTTTTTAATGTAAGTGAAGATGCCTGGATATTTTTAGGATGGTCCAAAATCACTCATTCTTTGAACAGATAGATAAGAATGTATGCAGTTTTCTCTGTTCAGAAGAGTCCCATGTCCCCTGATTAGTAATGACTTGGTACCAACTGATTCCAATTCTGCTGAATCCCTCCTCTACTGCTAGCCCCAGTGGCAAAAGATTAGGAAGTACTGTATGGGTCAATTGCTGCTGCTCTTTAATCCCAGTATGTCACTTCCCTTCACTAAGAAAGTTCCAGAGGAAGGAGTGGAGCTAGGCTAGAAGAAGAGAAGAGAGAAATGTGGAGATATGGAGATGCTCTTAAATTTTTCTTTCTGAAAAGATTATACATTAACCTGCTCTGTCTCCTAGTTCTGTCAAGGTAGATACTGCCTGCTTTTCCCATTGTGAAAAGAATGGTAGGGCAGGGTAGCACATTAGAGACTAAATGATTCAGAGAGGCATGAGCTTTCATAGAAAGTATCCTATTTTGTCAGATTCTGTGAATGGACTTACAGAAAAAAAGAGTTTAGAACAAAAATGTAAAGACAAAGGGAATGGAGAGGAGGAGGGGAGTGGCGAAAGGTGGGTTGAAAAGCTCAGAATGGATGAACAAAATGGTAAATGCATTGAGGGATGTTGTTTAGCTTTTAACTCCAGCTATGCATTCCTATATAATGGGTTAAGAACCCATAGTCTTTAAGACTGTTTAACACAATCCAGTCTGTGAATCTCAAAATCGTGTGCCTCTGAACCAGTTACTTTCTCAGGCCCCTGGCAGGCGTTGTGTTCATCTCATAATACGAGTTTCGTGTGTTAAATGGGAACACACTGCATGTTCAAGTCTATTTATCACATGATAAAAATGATGAATCTTCCTCAAAGAAGTTACTCGTTGAATGTGGAATTTGGTTGTGGTACATATGCATCACAGGTTAACCTGAACATCCAACAATGTTCTGCTCTCCAGTCTCCTTCCTAGGGCTGGCTTCTGACAAATGACCAAGTGGTGATCTGTGAGTGGTTTGTACACAACTCTGTCTCCATTACCACCAAGCAGCAACAGGAGCAGGCAGCTATGGTGGTGGCAAGCAGCCTAGGCATTATGCAGACAGCCCTGGTCCTTGGTTGATCACTCACTTAAACTTTTGAGCTCACAAGCAACCTTTGCAGGAGTTGCTTCCCAATACTAAGCTGCTTGTACCAGGCACTTTAAAGAACATGTGGGTGGCCCAGAACTGGTGAGCAGCTATCTGGTGCTGGGCTGCTCATGTACCTGGAAGTTTAAAGGGTGTATACGCAACCCAGCACTGCTGAGCTGTTCTCTGCTTCTGGGCCTGCCACGTGCCCTTTTAAAGTGGCTGGTGCAAGCAGCTCTCTGGTCTGCCTGACACCACCCTGGCCACCCTGTTCCCATTGCTGCCTGTTGCAGGTGCCTGGAACAGCCCTTATCCCTGATAGACAAGGGAGGCAGTGAGCAGAGTATCAGGGAACAGTCATGGTTACACAGCAAGGGTGTTGGGGCTCCCTGCAAGAAGCAGCAGGGATTGATTAAAGTGGGAGCCTGCATCCCACCTGCATCACCGTCTGCTGCTGCTTGTAGGGGGCTGCTTCATTTCTTCCTCCACTGCAAGCAGTGGTAAAGCTGATTTTAGGGCATAGGACAGCTACTGTTGAATCCAAGTTCAGCTTTGCCATTCACATGTTGGGTACAGTTTTTAAAAGTACCTTAATGAATTTGGCCATAAGTCTAATATTCAGAAATGACTTAAGTTTTATTGAACATCAGTGAGACTTAGTTTTCCAAAGAGCTTAAGAGGCCTATAATTTTATGCCTTGTCATGAATATTAAAGTGTAATCCAACTTTTGTATAACTTTGGTGTAATACTGCTTAATATTTAGTTAATATTTCTTTTAATTTCCAAAATTCCAGTAACAACTTTTTAAAATACTAAAAATAGGAGTGACCTATTACTACTATAGGAGTGATACTACAGTGAATCATCATAGTAATAGGAGAACCTCTTTATTCAGCTATAAAATAATTTTCTTTTTATTAAAGGAGACAAGGTACCAGCTACTTCAGCTGCGTCCAACACAACGAGCTTCATGGATTGGATATGCTATTGCATATCATTTATTAAAAGATTATGATATGGCCTTAAAACTACTGGAAGAGTTTAGAAAAACTCAGCAGGTAAGACCTACTCTTATAAAATAGTAATACTTCACAGAATCTGAATTACTGTACACAGTAAGTAGGAAAAATGGCTGTTTGCAGACTTTCGTTGTTGTTGTTGTTGTTGTTGTTTTTCATTTAGCATCTTGGGACCTAATTCAGGAACTCACTGTGTCTGTGGCTACTGATTATATAGGCCTCATTTGATCCACAGATACTAGGCTACTTCCTGTTCTGGGTTTAAAGAAGTACCGATGGCATGTGAAATAACTGATTAGGTGAGTTAAGATCTGTGACAGTGGAATAATTAACCAAAAAATCCCAACGGTTATCTTGTTGCTTAACAGGTGTTAGATTAATCAACACAATAGAAATTTTTACACCACACTTTCTACTCTTGCAGTAATTTGGATAAAATGACCAACTTAACTGTGTCTTACAACTCAGCAGCAAAGTATGTATAGAGGTTTTTTCTTTTTTTTTTTTCATCTGTTAATATACCAGCAATAACAGTTCCAATAACAAGAGGAATTGGAAAATGTTACTGATGATAAGATATTTTATAACTCAGAACTATGAGATTTGGAATGTATATAGATCAAGGTACCATCTAACAAAAGAGTACTGGTAGGATCTGTTACTGACGACTGAATCAAAATGAAACAAGGCTAGTAAATTACTGTAACATATGGGAAGAAATATTTGTTAAGGTGGATGCTTACCTTGGGGAAGATGGTGTGTATGATGTAGTTGGTAGTAAAAAATTGTCTTACATCCTAGGTATTAAACTTTTCTTTTTTTGACCCCCCAAAGTTTTTGCATCCAGCATGACCCCATTATACCAGATTATGATGAATTAGTCACTAAATTAGGAGTGTGATGTTGATTTTGGGACCAGGATTATGATCTGATTAAATTCAGGTTGGCAAACAAGACAGTTTCACTCAGTAATATCTACTTCAAAAGAGCTGCTGCTTCAAAGATGAGCAGGAATCCTGGTTTTCTCTGATTTAAAAAAAAAAAAATTAAATCCCCAATTTTATGATTAAAAAAAAGTAACCCCAAATCCACATTTTTCCACATTTTTAAAATGAAACATGAAAAAAAAGAAATTATATATATTTCTCTGCCCCACCCCCCCCCCCCAC